TAACTGATTGACTGGATTGACTGACTGATTGATTGACTAACTGACTGACTTGTTTAACTTGCTGCAATAGTTGTCATCATCATCAAAAGCCGAAGAAAAAAAAAGAAAAGATGCGCGCCATTTTAATCAAATCCAAAATTTTATGAAAAATTCATTTGAAAATGATGATTGACAAAATGCATTCATTTTTTGTTTCGTTAAAAGTAAATGTCAATCATAGCCTGATGTACATTTTCATTATCATTCGATTATCATCATCATTATTCAATCCAAAATGATTGATTGATTAAGATTTGACAAAAGTTTTGAAGAAAAAAAAATTTCATAATTAGCTTTTTAAGGTTCAAAAGGGTTTTTTTCTAATAAAACCAAAAATATTTATTTAGAAAAACAGACAAAATGTACCGGAACTAGAGCCAAAAAAGAAGAAGAATAAGATTCTTTTGAAATATATTTTCTTTTTTGGGTTTGAAAAAAAAAATATATTTTCAATTTTCCATTTTATGCAATTATGTGTTTCAAATTTGTTATTCTCAATAATAAAATGACATTCATTAAAATTCTCGACAAACAACATTGACAAAATTAAGTTTCATAACATTCATAAACCATATAATAGACACACACACACACACTGTGTTAATCAAATCAAGCAGAAAAATTTTCTTTAAAAAAAATTAAAAAGAAAAAATCTTTTAAATGAAAAATATCCATTAATTTATTCACCATATTCATTTATCAAATGAATAAGATTCGTAATGTTTGCGGTTGGCCAGAATCAAACAGAATTTTTGCTGTTGTTTGTTGTTTGCTTCTTGATGATTCACAAATTCGTACATTATATTTTCATAATTTTGATAATGAATCAACAACAACAACAACAACAACAAAAAAAGAGTTGCATTTTGGTTGAAGAGCGAAACAAGTTCATCAATCATTTTTGTTTTTCATTGGAATTTTTTTTTCTGAATGGAAAAGACAGAAATAATCAATCAATCAATCAAAATTGATAGGAGAAAAATTGATGATTACATTTGCTTATTATTTAGACATTTCGATTACTGGATATGCAATATTTTTTCTGAACCAAAAAAGGATTTGACCTTTTTTTTCACTCAGATTGAAGACCGAAAAACATGAATTTTTTTTCGATTTTTGATTTTCGTTCGAATCGATTCAATCCAATCGCTGCTGTTGCCATATTTAGATCACAAATTGATGAGATAATAATGATGATGATGATCGCCATTATCATTTCATGGAATGTTTTTTTGTTTTTGTTTTGACATTATAAAAATGATTACATAGCCAGAAAAACAGTAACAACAACAACAACAAAATTACATTGTCAAGTTCAAATCAATTGGGCAACAAGTGTCCAACCAACCAACCAACCAACCCAAAAACCAACCTTTTTCCAATTTCAATAATGACAACAAAAAAAATGATAATAATAATCCCGGAGAAAAAACCAAACAAACGTCATTCACATTTTTACAATTTATTATTATCATAATAATTATAATGATAATAAATGATAACGATAAACAAATATAGAAAAAATGTAATTAAATAGTTTTTTTTTGTTTTTACAAATAAAATTTTATAAAATGTCATTTCGTATCATTTTTTTCGATCAAATTTTATTCTTTATTCAAAGATGATAACGATTTTTAATTAAATTAAATGTAAATTTAAAAAAATATAATAAATTATCATATTGGCCATTATATTCCGAACGAAAATAATCGATAATATTATTTGAATGATTATTATCTGAATGATGATCGCTGTTGTTGTTATCGTTTTTGTTGTTGCTGTTGTTGTTGTTATTAAACATATCAAATAAAGTCATATGAATTTGTTTGAATAGATAATATATTGCTTCGATTGTTGATAAATGATTTAATGGTCGTCCATGTTGATAACGCCAAAATAATGTCTGTTCAGAATCGATAATCAATGTTTTTAATTCTGATAAAATCGAAAAAGAAAATGAAAAAAACGATAAATAAATAAAATAAATTGGATTTGATCAGCGGTATAAAAAAACCGGAATTTCCTATAGTTTAATAATCAACGGTTATTTTGATTCAATCAAAATATTCTTCAAATATTGTTAATTTATTGCAAACCATCATTATAATTTTCCTGTAAATTCAATTAAATTGAAACAAAAAAAAATACATTTTGTAACAACGTTATCTTTTTTTTTTAAAAAAAAACCTAATGAAAAACGGAAATTTTTATCCGAAAAAACAAAAGTAAATAACTAATTAATAATTATTTGATAAAAGTAGACAACAAAAACAAAATAACAAAAATAGATCTTCTATAGAAAATTGAAAAAATAATTGGGTGAAAATTAATTAATAATCAAAAATCAAAATCAAAATCAAGAAAATTTTCAATTTAGAAATACAACCAATCAACAAAAAAAAATATAATGAATTCTAGTGAATCATGAAAACCTTTGTTAACTGTGTGGATATGTGTGATATGATGTTTCGGACTTTTACAACTGCTACTGATGCGTAGGTGTTAGATGTGTGTGTGTGTGTGTGTGAAGAAACAATCCAATAAAATAAAGGTCATATTTTTTTTTGTTTCTGATTGAGGCCATAGATATGAATGAATCCAATAAGTGTTTTTTTTTGTTTGTTTGTTTTCAAATCTAATTGACAAGTTTTCTATTTTTTACCATGGAATTAATCTATAGAACACACACACACATATATCGAGCACTTACTTACTTTTTAGTTACATAATTAAATTCTCGTTAAACTAATTGGGTGATAAAATAAAGTCTTTGGATATTATTTTATTTGGCTTGATTAAGAAAAAAAAATCTTCAAATTAAAAACTAATAAATTCTATGGAATCTGGAAAAAAAGGTAACAAACAAACAGAAAAAAAACGAACAAAGAAAGAGATTACTATTACAATGGAAATTTAACAAGAGATCACATTGATATAATGATGTTTTGGTGATCACAAATGAGATAATCTAAAAATAGATTATCTAAACATCATCATCATTTTTATTTTGACTTGTGTGAAACATAAATCATTATGATGTTTACTTTAACAAAAAACAAATTCTATGCAAGAACATTCACTGATGATGGAATCCAAAAAAAAAAAACCAGAACATCACACACACACATCACATTACATTGACATTTCATATCAGTGACGTCAAAAAAAGGGGAGAAAAAAAATAATATAAAAATTACACTTACGTTTTATACGAACATCTCTAAGAATTTTTTTCGTCTGTTGCCAAGTGCTTTTGGAAATGAATTTCGAAAAAAGGGGTAGAAAAATTTCAAAAAATTGATTATTTTGACGAAATTATTATCATTTAAAATTCATGTCGTGTATCTCTCATTCAATCAATGTCAATGTTAATATGTTATCCAAAAAACACATTCACTTTACATTGCATGTATGTGTTTTTGTCACATGTATTACATCAAAAAAAAGTAAAGTAAAGGATATTTTTAGAATTGGGATTTTAATAAGCTGAATAATAATCCGTTCAGGAAGTTTTTCTTAGTTTTTCTTTCGATTAAAGAAAAAAATTAATTCTTCATCTTTATAAGCATTTTACAAATACAAAGAAACATTCAATTGGAAAAAAAATGAGAGAGGGGAGAAAATGTTATTGGAAATTTAATAATAACAATCGGATACATTCATTGTTGATAAGCATGATTACGTGACTGAATGAATGATTTTTTTGTGGTTAATTTTACGTAGGATAATAAATAAAGAAAGAATAACAAACTAAAATTAAGAATAATAACAAGAAGAAGAATTTGATGAGGAATTTTGAAAAAAATCTAATTATTATCATTATTATTATAAAACCTTTTTAAATTTCTTATTTCTTTTGAATCAGTAAAAAAAACTTAAAATTTTTCTAATGAAAATAAAGAGATGATGTTTATTCATTTTAATTGAGGGAACCGCAAACCACAAACAAACAAAAAACATGTTTCAAATTACTATCACATGATGTTTTCATCATTATAATTTGTAATTAAATATTTTAATAAAGTTCTGGTTTGGTTTGGTTAAAAGTTAGAAACAAAACAAAACAAATTACCTGTCAATGACAACGATCCTTTCGATTGGAAATTCTTTTTTATCATACCGAAAACATTGCTGCTGTTGTTGTTGTTTGGTTGGTTGTTCATCATTATTATCATCATCCTCATTATAATAATAATGATGTAGAAAATCGCTAACCGTTTTCGAACCAGGCTTTGGAAATAATAAAAATATCTGTACATGAGAGAGAAAATGTAGGGAAAAAAACCACAAAAGGATTATTGAAATTCAAAATTGAAAATGTTTTTTTTTGTCATGTTTTATAACAAGAATTTTGTTTGTTTTGCCCAGGAAATTTATTTCAAACTTATTCTGGATGAATTCAAAAACAAGGAAAAAATAAAACATTCAATTTTGCAATTAGTGATGGTGACTGACAGGAACGGAAAAAAGAGCCGGGAATTTTTGTTTTTTTTTTGTTGTTAAAAAATTTCAATTGAAATAAACAATGTCATGACATTTGAAACTAGGAAAAATCATTCATCAACAATGAAAAGAATCCATATGAATTTTTCTTCTTTCGGTTTTTGTTTAATCTGAAAACGAAAAAAAAAACAGCAGAACATCACATCAATAAATGTAATTATGGTGATGGATTTTTTTGCTTTTCCCAGAGCCGACAAATCTGTTTAAAAGACAGACAAACACAACAGAAGAAGAATAAATCTAAATTTAAATATTCCCAAAAAATGAATGAAAGCAAAATTTTCATTAAAAATAATAACGAATGTATAACAAGGAATTGACAGGAAAAATAATAACAATTTCGACAGAATTTTCAAATGAAAATATCATCGATTATTATTGTTAATTTCAAATCCGGAATCAGTTTTCAACCAAACAAACAAAAAAACAAAAAAATCAATCAATATGGAAATTCTATAATATCATTCGAGGCCAATAGAACCACCCATAGGAATTTGTAACGAATGAATGAATGGATGATGCAAATGGATAATGGTAATGACAAAACAAAAGATATAAATTTAGAAACAAAAGAGAAAGAGAAATGTAAACAAATGAAATTAACAAATGAAAAAAATCAAAATTTTTTTACAAACACCATTTGGGATAAATAACACATCGTATATATCGCGGGTTTTTTTCCGTTTGTTTGATTTTTTCAGTTGTTGCACTGAAAATTTCTATAGAATAACACACATTATTCTATTTGACATTACTATTATCTTGTCGTTTGTTTGTTTATTCGTTTGAATTTTTTTTTTGTATTTAATTTTACCAAAAGTTGAAATGAAATTTAATAATAATAATAATAGGAATGAAAT